TGGTTTCTCTGCTAAAAGAGGTGTCACTGCCCTCTGCTTAGACAACTGTCCCAGCCTCAGCACTGGGCTGGTATTTCAGCTTTTAAAAGGCCTTGTCACCTTCACCAGTCACTTTGAGGTGGAGATTTACAAGAGGCTATATATCTTCAGGCAGCGCCTGAATGTATACGAATCCTTATCCTTATGTTTGTGTTTTAACATAGTGTGAATATATTTTACACACACATATAAACACAAAGCAGGAAACATTTTAATTGACTTATTTGGTTGCAAAGTTCTCTCTAACATACAAAAGAAGGTACTTCTGTTTCTTTTGACTTCCCCCCACCCTAATTCAAACGCCAAATTGGTATTATTGCCCCAAGAGAGGGTACTTCTTTGGGGGTGGGTATAGGGGGCAGAGATAAAGAAAGAATGAAAGCCAACTCTTCAAGGGGAAGGGGTGGGGGAAGGAAAAAAACCCGTCTGGGAATCTCAAGAACATCTTTATTTCGCCTTTTAACTCTCCGCCTTTCTGATTAAAGAGTTCAGACCCGTTCCCCCGCCCGCGTTCAATTATCCGCCAGCATCTTTTCTCTGAAGCTGTCACTACCACTTGCTAAACCGCAGCCCCACCGTGAGCCCTTCGCCCGGCTCTTTTCCGTTTCGCTCCCCCCCTCCTCAGTTTCTCCCTGCAAGCTTTATAAATTTCCCTTGGAGGAGGAGTGTCCAAACGGGTGGAAGTCTAAACACAATGCAACCTGAGAATTTGTCACTCTCTGCATATGCTCCTAAGTGCTTTAATCCCAATTAGGGGCGGCTGACACACGGTCCTATTCATTCCCATCAGCTCTTGAATACATTTGCCTAGAAATGAACTTCACAAATAGAGGCGCTCCTAAATGTGCCCAACAGCAAGGAAAATCGAATTGAGTGCGGGCTCATTCGGCAGCGGCCGGCAGAGGAGCGTTGAATGTGGAGGTGCCCCGAGACATTGCAATTCAGCAACATGCTCGCTGACTTTTCTTTGCATCATGTCAACCGAAAGAACCAAGAAATAAGTTGGGGAACTCCGGTTAAAAGGCAACTTGAGAAGGACTCTGAATACTTTTATTGAGCCGCTTCCAATGAAGGACTTAGAAAACAACATAAAAGGCACCACAAAACCCACCAGCGGCGTCCGGGCTGCGTCCTAGCCGTGCGATTGGAGCCTCCCGGCCGCGGTGCACCCACCGGCCTCGCAATTAAGGGGAAAATGGCCCCGTCGCCGGCGTGTCATCTGGTGGCGTTCCCAGAGCCCGTCGCCGCCGCCCTATTCAGGTCCGGCCTTAATGTCCCACCCGCGCCTCGGGGGCTGCGCAGCTGGTCCGCACTGACCCGGCGGCCTTGCGGGCGCGGACACTCTCAGGAGGCGCGGCTCGGGCCACCTCACACCCCAACTCCACCGGGTCTCCAGGTCTCCCCTGCAGCTTCGCATGCAGTCCCTGACACCGCGCGGCTCCCTCCATCCCAGGGTTCGGGACTCTGCGCCTCGCCGGGGTGATGGCGGTGGAGGGCGCTGGTGACTCCCCAACACCCTGGTCTTCTAGACCCAGCGACACAGGGGGCAGCCAACTGCCCACTCCCACCCCCGCCCCCACCCCCGGGGTCTGAAGTCCAAGAGCTTTGCGCGCCGGAGGCTAGCAGCCCTGGAGAGGGTTGTTCCCAAAGGAGGTGCTGATCTTATCCTCGAAGTCGAGTGGGGGCTCTTTTCCTAGAGGCGGAGTCACCCTAGGTCACACGTGCGCCGCGCTCGCAGCTTTTGGAGCCTGACGCTGGGACGCAACCAGGCGCGGGCGGGGTTCGCCTCTCACGCAGGCGGCCTGAGGAAACGCTGCGGTGGGAGTCAGTTCCGGCCGCCGGCCGGTCCGCTGGCTGCAGCTCTGAGAGTCCAGCTTCGTTAGGGGCAACCTGTTACGGGGCGGGAATCCTGCCCGCGCGCTCCCGCGGCGGGCAGCGAGCAGGGCCGTCCCAGAAACCGCTTCGCTCCGCATCTCGGTGCAGAAGGGATTACGCTTTCTGGACGCCCATTTTAAGTTCATAAAAAAGCCGAGTGGAATGTTTTGATTGAGTCTCAACATTGTCTTTGAATAAGGCTGAGACCATGTAATTAATGTGTCTTTTTAATAAGGGACAATACGGCCGTTCAAGCTATTTAATTTCATTTAATTTTCCATCCCATTTGCTGCACAGCCCGCTTTTACTTTTAACACCCAGCTTTTCACGGCCCATCTTGCTCCACTGGGCACATTAGATTGGTTTCACCCTTGCTTTTTAGGGGAGGAAAAATAAAAGAAAATGTGTTCCTTTCCTCCTTTGTGGACAATTTATTTCACTTGGGGAACTTCAACTCTGAGCCACAGGACAGAATAAAACTCAGCGAGCTGGTGTGAATGCCTCTGGCGCAGTCCCTTTCTTCTCGCGGGGCTGGGAACCAGCCACAATTGGCTATATTAATAAATAACTTTCCTCACAGTCGGCCTTTACATGGTCCTATTGATAAAATTGTTCGCGTGTCGTTCACGCTTTTTCACTCATTAAGGAGGGCCGGGGAGGAGCCCCGAATCTAGGCCCCGCGCTCGCCCCTTCCCGCTCATAGTCCTGGTAATTTAAACGGGGTGTCATCCCCGAGTCGCCAGGCCAGAGGTTAGAGGGACATGTTCATGGCTTAAATTTATTGCCCTCGACTCTTCGGAATGGCTTCCTCTCCTCCCCCCTTCCCCGGCTTTTGCCATTCATGGGCCACCGGATCAAAGGCTCCCTTCTTTCCGTCGCGGGCAGCTTTCGTGGCCCACGGAGGGGCATCTGGAGGGGCAAGGGGAAAGATCAGTGGCAGCTCTCTCAAAAGTGGCCCCGCGCACGGCGTGGCTGCAGGGTCAGCGGAACTGCCGCGTGTGGTAGCCCAGACCTTCCCAGTGCCTCTGTTCTTTGCCCTAGCAGCCGCGTCTACACAGGCCTTGGAGTTAGCACAGAGGCTGGCCATCTATGCGTCGTGTAGACCTGGCTTGGATGCCCCCATTAAGCAAGCCACGAGTTTTGGAGCGCCCCAAATCCATTCACTCTACAGATCATTGCTACTGACCTTCGCAACCGTTGGGTGGAAGCCAGGTGTCTGCATCATCATTCCTATTTTAAGGATTTGGAGACTGAGGCTCTGCAGCAATTCACGGAAAGGTCCCCGAGTCTTGATTGACAGCACAGACTGAGCGACTCCGAGTCACCTGACCGTGTCCAGCAGGGCAAACTCAGGCCTCCGCCGAGGGGTGCCACACAGAGCTTTCTTGAGAGCCTCGTGGGACAAATTGCTGAGTTACAGGTGTCGCTACCTTGCGTCCTGCAGCAGTTGTTAATCAGAGTCACCCCATCAGTAGCCTAAGAATACACCTTCCTTGGGGAGAGCAGAGCCCAGCGGAAAACGCGATGCGGCGGCGGCTGGGAGTCGTCCTCCCATTTGTACAGCGGTTGGGCCACAGACACCAGGCTGGAAACCCAGAGTCACTCAGTCCTCGCCTGGAATTCCGCGTCGGGCTCGCGTCCAAGTACATAGGATTGGGGAGCAGTATCTGGGATTAGCAGAGCGAGGCAGGTGCGAAGAGAGCTGTCACAAATATCTGATTAACTCGATTACTCGGCTATATATTATGAAAACAAATGTTCCCACACAAATCGGAGACTTCCCTAAAAGGAAGTGAGAAACACTCTGATTTAACTCCAAAGCATCCTTCTCTTAGCTCATAAAGTGGGCTAAAGGCAAGGGTTTCGAAAGCCCACCTCGACCTCTTTTTCCCCATCTTTGACACAGGGTTTTTGTTGTTGTTGTTGTTGTTTGTTTTTGTTTTTCCCTTTTTTTAGGCCAGCTTGTGCGTTCTCAGGAAATTAGCACCAAGGACTTCTTCACCTTTTTACACTTAAAAGCAAATCAGGGTTTGGGGCACTTGGTTGGCCTGTGTGGGAACCGTGATTAAAATCCCAGCGCATGTAACCCCTCTTCTCTCTCGGGTGTGGTCAGGGTGCGGTATACCCCGCAAAGCCAGGGTCTTACAGCTGCCTCACCTTCTCCAGAGTCGTGCGGCCCTGGAGTACCCAAGACCAGTTAGGCACAGCTGATCTTGTCTCCCCAAACTGGTACAGACGCTTCATATTTCGGGGTGAAACTGGACAGAGGGAACGATAAAGCTGTTCTAAATAGACGACTGGCCTGAACCCAATCCCCTGAAATGGTAATATGGTCGTTATTTAAAAAGTGTAGGTATTTTCTGGTGTTTTCCCATCAAGTACCTGCCTAATTTCTGTATGGCACACGCCAGAAATCAATAGAAGTTAACAAGTCCTCCAAACAGTCCCCATCTCTTTGTTTAATCTCCTTTACAATAAAGCCAAGGGGAGAGAATTAAAAATCTTTGAAGTAGACCAAAGCTCAAAGGAATCAGCCAAGTAGACTTAAAGTAGTCACTTATTTCCCAAAACTGGTTTGTCGGCGAACAATAAAAGGAAGTAAAATTTATGGAGAAATTATACAGTGGATTTGTCACTTAAAATATCGTAACTGTCTCGAGGACAATACCCCATGCTGAGGATTAATGGTCCCGCCGGACCTTTGATTCAGCAGCGCCTTTTCTTCGCCCTTGACAAATTGGATTTTTAGGAATGGGAAGGTCGCCTGGACCATTGTGCGCCAGCCATTCAGAGGCCTCGATTATGCAGGGGGCTGAGGGAACCACTCCATGTGACCCTCTCGGGTGGGACTCTGCAGCTGCTCCACAGCACAACTCTCTCACCAAACTCCGCGCCCTTGCGCTGGCGGTGCCAAAAGGCGCCCGCCCCGATTGAAAAGGCACACTGCATGCCCGACCGCGTCACTCCGCGGGCGGAGGACGCACGTCGGGGCGCTGCTCCCTGGCTCGCGCGCGACTAGGGCTCTGTCACTCGCGCCCTGCGGAGGACCCGGCGCGCCCGAGCGCCTGCCCGGCACCGCGGCAGCAATGAACGCAGCCGCCCGCGCTCCCGCCACCAGCGTGAGTGCCGATTGCTGCATCCCGGCAGGTCTGCGCCTCGGGCCGGTGCCCGGAACCTTCAGGCTGGGCAAGTACCTGTCAGACCGCAGGGAACCCGGGCCCAAGAAAAAGGTATTAGCCATTCCGACCTTCGACCCCCGTCGTTCACCTCCCTTTTACCCGGCCCAGGAAAGGGGTAGATAGTGTAGATAAGAAAGGTGCGATTGAGTCTTTCGTTACCTGCTAATTGTGCCAGGTGGAAGGGGACTCTGATTATTTCCCCGAAGTCGCATTAATGGAGAGCTGAACGTGGAGCGGGCTGAGGGAACATCCCCTGGGTGGGGTGCACGGGGCTCTTTGCTTGCCGTGACCACTCGGAACTCGCGGTTTCCCCGCAGCTCTGGGATCTCAGCAGAGGCGCGCCTGCCCCTGGCCTCTCTCCGCAAATGCTCCTTTCCACTGTTTTACAACGGTCAGGGCGTTGAGGACTTTTCTTATTTTCTTCTTTCAATATGCTAATTTGAGGCTTAAATTACTTTAACATAATTTAACCTCAACTCCGAAAAAATCCTTGGGAAACTTTCAGTTCCTAGAACCTTCCCAGATCTCTCTTTCCGCGGATGTCTGTTTGTGGGTTTGGGGTAAATGGATAGAGGGTGAGACAGGTAGTGGCTTTGACTCGGGCTCCGTGGGCGAGGATCCCAGCTTCTGCAGAGCAGCTCTGAGAGCCCAGGGTCGCAACCGGGAGGCGTCAAAAGCTAACCTGCCAGCTCTAACTACCCAAACAGCGTCTTGACACCTGGCCAGAGGGGGTTTTCAAGGTCTCCGCCTGCCCTCAAGCGCCCCAGCGTGGATAGGTCGGCGAACAGCCCCGGGAAATGAAGGTGGTGCGGGGGTGTAGGATGCAGAGAACCTTAGTTTTGGCTTGCTTACAATTTCTTGTAAGAAATTGTTCCGTTGCTCAGCCAGGGGGATCCGCATCTGGCTGCTGCTCACGCAATCACCCTCTTCTCCGCGGGTTGAAGCCGGGCTTGCCGCACACTATTCCTTTAAATGTACTTTAGTTGCTTTTAAATGGTCAGCACGCGGCCTGCTGCTTTGTTCAAACATTTTCACTGCTGGGATCGCGGGCACCTCCGTGCAGTGCAGGGAGAGTTGGGGTGGGGGACATGGGAGGGGTTAGGGGACACTCTGGGTTCCGGCACTGACTTCGAACCGTCACTGCCCTGCTGCGCTGCTCTCTGAGGCGCAAGAGGGAGAACCGGAGTTGGGGTGGAGGATGTCTTGATACAAGGTGCGCCCAGGTGCTAGGAGGGTGGGGAATGCTCTTACCCCTCGTGTTGCCAAGGTGGGACGTCGGAGGAGGGGGACTATTATACTAGACAACCTCTCCTCTACCTTCCTCTACCAAGCAAGAGTTTTTAATTACCCTGTTCCCCGCAGCCCGCAGCGGTCTGGTCAAAACTAACGCAACCATTTTCCTGAGTGGGGTCGGGTAGGGGGTAAACTTTCCCTCTGGGTTGTGGGCCTGGCTGTGGCGAGGGGAAGAACGACCACTGCTTGTGTTGCAGGTGCGCATGGTGAGAGGGGAGCTGGTGGACGAGTCGGGGGGCTCCCCTCTGGAGTGGATAGGGTTAATCCGGGCAGCCAGGAACCCCCAGGAACAGACTCTGGAAGCTATTGCAGACTTACCCGGAGGACAGGTACTATGGGCTTCCCACTGCCAATTCTATCTACCTGACCGTCACAGAGGTGACCACCAATAAGAGCAAAGTGCTTTAGTTCCAACTCTCACTTAAACATTCCAGCAACCTTATAATGTATATGCTATTATTTTCCCCGTTTGGAGAATGAGGGAAGTGAGGTTCAGAGAAGTCCATTTGCTTTTCCAAGGTCACATAGAGTCAGAGAAGAGATACAAAACTTCCCTCTCAGTTTTTTTTTTTTTGATCAATTACCTAGGGAATGACAGCAAGCTGTCCTGTTTCTTGCATCCCAGATCTTCTACCGAGCGCTGCGAGATGTCCAGCCAGGGGAAGAGCTGACCGTGTGGTACTCCAACTCCTTGGCTCAGTGGTTTGACATCCCCACAATTGCAACTCCGACGCACGATGAGAAAGGTATCCCCTCTGAGAGGGACTCTGGGCCAGAGCGAGTGGGCAAGACTGCAGCTCACCTCTAGTCTTTGGGCAGGTCCCCAGACTTAAAAAGCTTTTCTCTTGCCCTGTGTAAAATTGAATTCACTCTCCCTGTCTGTGTGGGCAGAGAGGCGGCATCTGCACCACCTCTTAAAGTCGACAATAAATGATAATAGCAACAATGATAACCAGGCTGTCCACAGCAGGGGAAAAAGTACTATTTATGAACTTCATGGGGGTCATCCTTTTCTATTGCATATCCAATTAAGGATCAGTAGAGAAGCCTTAATTTATTACTGATCACATCACTAGCTCCAGAAAGCATAAGAGACTTGGAATACTTTTAGCAGGTGGAGGGGCATCTCTTCTGCACTGGATTGAAGGAGAGTAATGTACTTCTACAACATTTTAGAAGCATTACGGTACTTACAGCTGGTCAGTTGGCAGGTACTGAGCCCTTTCCATTTAAATGGTATTTATGCACTTCCCCTTCCCTACTTAAATTGATTTTGGGATGTATCCCAGTTTCTTCTCAGATTTATTTGATCCTTTCCAAAGCCAAGAGCGGATTTATGCAAATTAAGGTGCAGTAACTAAAGAGAAAAACATTTCCAAAACCTTCCCAAAACACTAAAGAACACTTCCTGTGGAAAAAAGCTGGGAGGTGCTAAAGTAGTTAAGATCCTGAGACTCCTATTTAATGCTTCCATGACTTTTTTCCTTTGCCAATTGCTTATTTATCTGTAATTTCCCCTAAAGACAGTTAATATTTAAAGTCAACATAATGAAGGCTGTGAAATATTTTAGCATGCTTTCCTTATAAATTGTCTGCTTAATCTCATTTCTTTACAAATAGGGTTAAAGAAATTAATACAAATGTGGGAATTAAGAAACACCATGAACAAGGCAGAATAAGTTTATTCAGAACAATGAATCACTTCACTTCAAAGTACCACTGTCCTTTGTAACTTAATTTTATTGATTTAATGGGTAGATTTATATGTACAGTATTTATAAAAATTATCCTAAAGTAATTTATTACTTGTATCATATTATATTAATTTTTTTTGCCAACTTCTTCTAGTAAGAGAGAAACATAACAAAAGTCCCATAGTGGAGAACAATTCCAAGGGCTACTGGCCTTTAATGGGCCAGGGATTTCTGCACAGAGCACTCTTCCTTAGGCACTTTCAAATAGTGTAAAGGCAACTTGTTTGAGTGGTAACCTCATGTTTTTATTTCAGTCAATTGAGCTTAAAACATCACATAGTAACAGATGTAAAAATAGACACCATTTTCCTTTTGGGGAATGTGTGGGTTATTTCGAGTCCTGACTTCCCCATCTCGGAGATGCTTGAAATCTTGACAACCTTAATGTTACCTGAAGGAAAGGCAGTGAGGTCACTTATGAAGTGTATTTGATACTTGGGGCATAGGCTGGATTTCAGGGTCCAGAGAACATGTGAGTTGGTTAGGATAAACTGAAAAAGAAACACTGAAACTGAAACCATACATTTGCTTAAATCTTAAAAAGAGCAATAAGTAAGCAGGGATGGCTGCTAGTCTTCCAATATTCACTAATTTCAGTGGACTTCAATTCCAGAGTAAAATTAAAGAAAATACTGACCCTTTGTTTTAGGAACAAGCTTACTTGGCTTTGTAGGGCTGAGTCATTCTGGAGAAGCCTCTGAAAACACCCTTTTTAAAAAGTGGTGATGAGAGGGAGGTTGGGAACTTAGGAAAAGGGAGGCCATATAAAACATTAGGTCAGTACACCTGTCAAGAGAATCCAGGCCTCTTCTCTCTTTCCTTCAAGATTTAATTTACATGACTGTTCAATACAAGGTAACAGATATTGAAATGATTTCATCAAGTCTTCGAGAAACAATTAGGATAGAACCTAATAGGCAAAACCTCCCCACTCCTTTATTTTCTTTCTGCTCTCTCTGTGGCTTCAGCTGGAATAAACTACTTACTTGAACTTTCATTTTAGTTATGGGTGTCTGTGTGTGTGTGTATGTGTGTGTACTACTTGCTTTATGCAAAGCTAGAAGTAAAATACATGAAGGGAGGAAGAGCTGCAGTTTTTTCCCCCACTGTTGTTCTGTAGTAATGTTTAGAAGTTTGAGCTGCTTGTAGACAAGGCAGGAAAATTTAGCTTTTCCATTATATTTAATGAGGCTGACATTTACTTTGGATTCTTCATTGTGGCTCAACTAACTTACCATTTTTTTAAGAGAAATCCTTCCCTTCAGTATTATCAATAAACCACAGCATTTAAAAAGACACCCAGTTGCAAATCGCTGTTCTCTGTACAGATGTAACATGGCCTTTTTGAGTAAATATTAACTTCCACCATGTGATCAGAATCTGTTTCATACACATGTCTCTTGATTGTGTTCATAGGCCCTGGCAAAATTAGAAACAACTAATGTTAATAATATTAAAAACAAACACAAAAAAGATTTAACACTAAAAACACATATACAGATCCTGGTAGAGAATTTTGCACTTATTACAAGTTGATTATCTATATCTACATCACTCAAATATATTCATATAATAAAAATAAACTATATATCTTTTCCAAGAACTTTAGTAAGGTTGGATTTGTGCAGTTACCTAGGAGTTAATTAATTAAAAAACTGACAACATAATGCAATGCAATTCTTTAGTTTTTAGAATATCAGGACACAGGACTTTTTCTTTTTGCCCATCAAATTAAATAGGGTTAAAGAGGAAATAAAGATACAAATAATTTTGAAGAATAGCAAATCATAGTCCCTATGTGGTCCTTCAGTTGGTCACGCTCCAGGAAAACCTCAGGCAAAGTGTTTAAGGCTGGGAGGGGGTGGGAAGGGTGGGTAGTGGACATAAAAGACATTGTTCTATGAAAAGGAATGATTACATATGGCCCATACATACAGGATATTGTCTCGCCTCGTAATGAGGAGCTCACGACCATTAGATTGGCCTTTGTTCAGTTTATTCAAACTCCTTGACATACGCCAGCTACTTATTCTGCAAACGCCAACAGATGGGCCCAGGCCCAGCACAGCCTCAACACTTGATTTAAAGCAACAGCTGCTCTCTGCTCTGTCTCTTCCCTGGCCAGCCTGCCTGAGCTCTGCTCTCCCAGCGAAGATCTGCTCCAAAGGCCCGAAGGCCCGGAGGAAGTCTTCGTTGTAAATGTCCAGATCACCCACTTGGCTTCTAAGTAGCCCCAGGTGATAGAGATGGTGACAAAGTTGGTCATTTGGGGGCTTCTCGGGGTCCTTGCTATAGTGAGGCTACCGAACTCAATTATTCGCGGGAACCAAGAATACTACTTCTCCCCATATCGCTGGTTAAAACCTGGGTTTTGCCTTAGTTGAGCTGGCGCTTTCTTTCTTGCTTGTTCGCCTTTCACGGGGTCGCTTTTCTACTCTTTCTCGCTCAGGGGAGGAGCGCTACATTTGCTGGTACTGCTGGAGGACGTTTAGATACCCCAACAGCCTTAAGGCGCACCTACGTTTCCACTGCGTGCTCAGTAGCGGCGCGGGCCGCGCCTACTTGCACCAAGAGCACGCGTCTCGCCAAGGCCCTGCCGCTGTCGCGGATGGCCTTGGCTTTTCTCCGAAACCGCAGGTGTCGGACTTCGCCGCGGCCACCCCGGCAGGCACACTACGGCACCACCTGCAGGCCCCACTGCCTGTCCAGGCTTGCGGAGCGAGGGAGAACATCAAGCGCGAGGCCTCCTCTGCGCCCTCGGCCTCCTCGCCGCCCCCCGCCAAGTGGGGCCTGTCCAAGAAGAGCAAGGAACAGCTTGACCGCGCCCTGGACGTGAGCGGGGCCGCCCGGGGGAACAGCCACTTTCTGGGCATCGTGGGTGGCTCTCCAGCGGGGGGCGGCGGCCTGGCCTTATACCCCGGCGTGCGCTCGGCTTTCAGGCCAGCGGGTTTGGCCAGGACAGTGGCGACAGCCTACCGGGAGGAGGGCGGTGGCAAATCGGGGTCCGGCTTGCTGGGTGGGGGTCGGGCGGGAGGGCGCCCCGGAAGCAGGGAGAACCCGGCGGCGGGCGGCGCGGGCCAACACCAGCACCATCACGCTCACCATCACCACCACCACCATCCGAAGTGCCTGCTCGCGGGGAATCCGCCTCTGCCTCCTCCGCCTGGTTTGCCTTGCTCCGGGGCCCTGAGAGGCTTCCCTCTGTTCCCTGGCCCCCCGGAAGAGGCGTCCGCCTTCAAGCACGTGGAGCGCGCCCCGCCCGCTGCTGCCGCGCAGCCTGGAGCGCGTTTCGCTCCGCTGCCCCCGGCGACTGGCCTCCACCTCGAGCGCTGCGCGCTGCCGGGCCTCGACGCGAGCGGGCTCAAAACCTACCCCGGTAGCGAGTGCAGCCACTTGCCCGCCGTGATGCCGGCCTTTACTGTCTACAACGGGGAGCTACTGTATGGCTCACCGGCCGCCGCTGCCGCTTATTACCCGCTCAAACTGCACTTCGGTGGGCTACTCAAGTATCCGGAGTCCATCTCTTACTTCAGTGGGCCCGCGGCGGCGGCGGCCACGCTGAGCCCCGCGGAGCTAGGTTCCCTTGCTAGCATCGATCGGGAGATTGCCATGCACACGCAGCAGCTCTCCGAGATGGCGGCTGGAAAAGGCCGTGGCCGCCTGGATGCAGGGACACTGACATCCACCGTCGTGGCGTCGGGTGGCGCGGGGAGTGGCAGCAGCGGGGGCGGAGGCGCGGGCAAGCCCAAGACAGGCCACCTGTGCCTCTACTGCGGCAAGCTGTACTCACGCAAGTACGGGCTCAAGATCCACATGCGGACGCACACGGGCTACAAGCCGCTCAAGTGCAAAGTGTGCCTGAGGCCCTTTGGAGACCCCAGCAATCTCAACAAGCACATCCGGCTGCACGCAGAGGGCAACACGCCCTACCGCTGCGAGTTCTGCGGCAAAGTGCTGGTGCGGCGCCGTGACCTGGAGCGCCACGTCAAGTCCCGCCACCCAGGTCAGAACCTGCTCGCCAAGACGTGCAACGGTCCCGGCGCAGAGCCTGACTTTCCCCCGGAGTCCGAGGAGCCCAAGAGCGACAACGACAGCGACGTGGACGTCTGCTTCACGGACGACCAGAGTGACCCTGAAGCCGGGGGTGGTGGCGGCGAGCGTGTCTCTTAACCATTCTTCCCGAGAAGGGGTGTATGTGGTGGGACTGGACAAAGAAGCGCGTGGGAGGGGGTTCTTTCTGGGAAAAGATAACCACTTGGTGGTGAGAAGAGGGACCAGGTTGACAAAGTCGTTTTTATTTTGGTGCGGCGCCAGATTTTGCAACAGTGAAAGGTCTCAGGTCATGCTGAAACGCAGAGCCAGGATTTAAAGAGGGCTTAAAGAAACCTGGCCTCCTGGGCAGCCTGCGGGGTTGGGTCCCGGCGCGCTGAAGGCCTCTGGACTCTGCGGATAGGCTTCCCGCACAAACGCCCAGGCCGTCTGCTCTGGAGGTTTAGGATCACGTTAGTGTGAACGTCACCGGCGCCCTTGAGGACGCCCATTTAAACTGCCAAGTATTTTTAAATTGTTCTTTTCTGTGGAGGAAATTGTGCCTTTTGAGACGATGTTTTGTGTGTGTATTTTACATTAGCATTTCACTGCATAGGCAAAACAGTAGTCACAATTGGGTAGGTGTGGCATCCATACACTTGTCTCCATTTCATCTGTTCTTCTGTCAAAGACTATGCCTTGCCGCTTTGAATATATAGTGGTAGCAGGTGTACAAACTGGTCAAGTTGCAATTATTTATAAGAGAATAATGACAAATGTAAAATATCTAAAGCATGAATTTAAGAGCACGCAATATATAATTTTAAAATGTCCTATTTGGTAGAGTACAAACGTGATGTATGTTGTTTTATAAATAACGATGTACAGTGGATTCAGTATTTTGGTCTTGGTTCCAGTTTGTGCAATCTTTAATAAAAATAAAGACACAAACGAGAGTTGTTCACATAATGATTTCAGAAGATTCTTTAAAGAAATAGTTTAATATGAAAACAATGTTAGAGGAGATGCCATAATAAAATATAGTGTAGGACGCTTGTATAATTTGATTATTCATAAAATAAATGTTAAGTAATGTTGTAATAAGGAAATATACCATTTTCAATATGTGCATTTCACAGGCTCCCAGGTAGCAGGCAGAAAAATTGTTTCCTGAAACCATTGTTAATCATGCTAAGTGTCTTCATGTTTATGGAAAGAGGCTAGTGACCTTCAAGAAGAACGCACACACATTTCTTGTCAAAAAGAATTATGGAACTGTGGAATCACTATTTCTTGTTATGTGCCATTTTGACAGAACTAAAAGAAAAAAGGAAACTTGCTCAGTACCTTTTGTGATGCACACACTTTTTAAATATTCATACAACAAATACTAAAGGAGGATCTACTTTTTTTGGAGGTGTTGATCTATTTGCTCTACATAGGTTTTCCCCCCTTGAATCCCTTCCAACAACCTTCTGCTGTAGTATGGGTCCTGTTTTACAGAGGAAAATAGATATACTCTTCAAGGTCACTGGGAGGCCCATAGTTAGAACAGTGGAGTTAAGAGCTAACTAACATTAAAATCAATGCTAGTTAATGTGGGATATCCATTATATAATTTTGTGGGTTAAAATTGGAAAGCACTCATTCCCCTTTCTCCCCGCTGCCCCTCCTCCCTGCCCCTCCCCCCACCCCACACGCTCTGGGGAGGATTGCTCTGCAGTTATGCAGAAAACGGAGGATTAGTTATTTCCTCAACTAAGGACAGGTACCCTAAGAGCCCAGTCTCAGTGCTCTTCCTAGAGGGTGGTAGGGAGATTCTAATAAGTCACCGAAGGTTCTGGATATGCTCCCGATGATTTAGTCAGTTAAAAATGCCCTTTTATTTTTGGACTCTTTGAGAACTGCAGTAGTCTTCACCCTATTGTCTCCCAGTTGGGGACATGGCCTCAATCATTGGGTGGCTGGCAGGGAATTTTTCTGACTCTTCACAGTAGGGGCATGGTTGGGAGAGAAGGCATCTGACTTGGTGGTGATCAGCAAAATGATTTCTTCTTTGAGAAAACTTGCTGGGACTTATTGGTTTCTTACTTATATTTTCTTTCTTTCTTTCTTTCTTTCTTTCTTTCTTTCTTTCTTTCTTTCTTTCTTTCTTTCTTTCTTTCTTTCTTTCTTTCTTTTACTGTTAATCGACCAGAAAATGTTTTGCTTTGTAAAAGGAAGCCTAAAGAGAAACAAAAATGTGTGATTAACATGTACACATACTGACAATAATACTACATTTACCTCGGACCTACTTTGTTCCAGATCTTTATGCTATTTGCAATTATTTCTTCTCTGCAGATGATGACTGTGGGCTTGCCCCATCAGGTTCAGTGATAGCCCTGCCACACAGACTTGGAAGTAAAGCCAAGTGTTTGCCTGTTCAGCCTAAGCAGCCAGTCCTGGGGCCCAGGGCTCCTCAATGCCTGCTTAGTATCATGGTCCTGCCATTCGAAGGAATTATTACTTAAAACCAAATCTACCCTGACAGAGAAATATTGGAAAACTTTTCTGAAACCAGATCGTGTAAGTCATCAAGGAAAGTGGGCAGGGCTGCCCAGATTTGAAACATAGGAAGCATTAAAAAATATTTCGTTTTATTTTTTTTAATGCTTCATGAGTTTGTGTGTCATACTTGTGCAGAGGCCATGCTAACGATCTCGTATCATTCCAGTTTTAATATAGGTGCTGCTGAAGTGAGCACAGTAAAAGTTTTTATCAGCTGTAACATTTATGCTTTTGTCTCCCATTTCCTAGCTCAGTAATTAGTCTTATAACTCTTGTCGTGTGAGGATAGACTCTAAAGAAATAAATTAAAAATAATTTGATGAAAAGAAATACATTTAAAATTGATAAAGTCTTAAAAAAACAAACAAAAACAACACCCCTAGTCTCCTGTTTCCCCCTTTGTAAATTGATGTATAATATAAAAAATGAAAATTGAACACAGATTTAAAAGGCTCTTAATTGCAGGTCGTTTGTGATTCGCCATAGGTTGCATCATATAACCTGAATACATATCCATGGATGTGCACACTCTCATACCTAATTAATACAATTAATTATTTCAATGGGTAAGTCAAATCAGTGATATACAATTAGTAACAATATTACTTATTTCAAGTGGCTCAATTGAATTAGTGTTTCTCAGGTTATTTCTTCGAATTGCCTATCTTCTCTCCCCTACTCTCATTCCCAGCCCTCAATCCTTCTCATCCTGATGACTACAACTAACTTTGAAGGTTGTGTGAAAGGCACTGTAAGTTTCTAAGATTTTAACACAATATTTTGTGCTAAAAGATCTTTTTTTGAAAAGGAGGATTCATGCTTTTCAGAAGTGAAAGATTCTAATTGTTTGAGCCTAGTTAATTTGGATATTAAAATTTTGCTTACCTAAATAAACCAGAGAGAGGTGAGTTATAGGCTTGCCTCCACTACTTATTCGCTTGACGTCTTGGACCAATCTCTCCATTGCTTCAATTTCCTAACCTGTAAAACAGGGTGAAATAAGCAACAGGGTAGTCATGAAGACTGAGTTAATACAAGTAAACTGCTTAGAATCAAGCCTGATGAATATTAAGCTCTCAAACAATGCAATGAGAGTAGGCAGCAGGAAGAGGAGAAAAGAGAGAAGGAAGAGAAGAGGAGAGAAAGGGAGAGCAGAGATTGAAAGAGACCCAGAGATAAACGTTATAAAGCAAAGAAGGAGAAGGAGAGAGAGAGAGAGGAGAGAAGAGGAGAGGGAAGAGAATGGAAGAGAAGAGGAATGGAGGGAAGAGAAGTGAGTTTGTACACAGGAGCTGGTGTGTGTGTTTGTGTGTAGGGGGTGGGCTCTTTGGCTTCCTTCCTCCCTATTTAAACCACTTAGAGCTAGCAATAAATTCAACATCTGGTAGGGTCCAGCCTTTCTTTTTTTCTTCAACATTCAGACAAACTTAAATTATAGTCCTTTATAATCTTATGGGCCCACAAGCCAAATGCTATATGAGATCTGTCAATCACTGAAACTCTTTATGCCTCCATAACTGTATTGAAATAACTCTAGCAATTCCTTGATTTCATCTGAAGACATCAAGGAACCAGGTTAAGGGTTGCAGCTTTTTTATATAAGCATTAGCTTCTTTTTACTAGGGCACTCGATGGATTCCTCTCTTCTTGGTTCACTTTTAGTCCCAGATAAACTCAAACTCCAGTAAATAAAGCCCTTTCACACTTTTGCTAAAGAGAAACTTTTTCAGAGCCGCCCCCCTCCCCGCCCCCGGCCCTGCCCTGTCCAGGCATCTTTCTATTCTGAGCACAGACATGGATTCAAATGGTCAAATGACTAGGAAGAAGAATAGTCTATTTTCACTAATTTTTGAAATGCTCTGCTGTGAGGTGAAGAGTTTCAGCAGGCAAATGCAGGGAGGTACATCTCTTCTAAGCCCAGCAGAAAGCGGAGCATATGGCAAGTGCTGCAATTCTTCAAGGTTCTACTCTGCGGAAAGTTTATCGACTGTTTAGACTCTAAGGCAAGAAAGTGGGTAGAGGTGGTGCGCCTGCTGGGGTTCCAGAGCAGAGAGGGCGGTGATTGGTTGAGGCTCTTTAGTCCGAGCGATCTAATTGGCTCTCCTTTCGGACGCAGGGTTGCAATTGATAGCGGGCTGGCCACGGCGGAGGTCTGGGCAGGCTTTGCCTCCTGGGAACCTGTAGCCCAGGGGCGGTGCCGCCGCTTCGGTGGGTGTCACAGTGTCAGCCAGCGCGTGTAGCGTTTTTGTGGCTCACAGTTTTGCTCTCCCTGGAAACAGGGTTTACGGGTTCCGGGTTGGGGCAGAGGTTTGGGAGTCTCCCGGCGTTTAGGTGTACAGTCCGGAGCCCTGGAAAGGAGGGAGACCGGAGGCCGGGAACCGGGAACCTCTCCACACCAACCCCCCGCGCCCAGCTAGTTCTTGTTTAAGTGCCTCTGCCCAGCTCTGGCAGGGAGCTGCGGCACCAGTGCAGAGCGCCCTCACCATCTGCTGCTTCCCCAAAGGGAAGGGGGCAGAGGCGCTGGCGCCATCGGGAGGTCAGACTTGACCCTTGGCCACCCAGGTGTGAGTTGTGAAGGGGAGTACTCAACAGACGGCGGGGGCCACCGTATTTAGTTCCAGAAGGAGCGTGGCGCTCGCTCTGGGGTGGGTGACCTTCCTACAAAAGATGAAAGGAGCGCTTCTGTCATCTGCGACTGTAGTTTAATTCAAATTAGGTGCAACTGGTTGTGGATAGACAACTTGTTAATGCCTTTAGCTTGCAAACTATCCGCGCGCGTTCCCTTCAAAAAGGTATCCAGATTGAGTGGACTGTATATATGGGCGTGAACCCTTTGAAGACACTGATTTTAATTCAAGTATAATTTGCTTTACTTGTTTAAATTTAAGCTTTTATATAAGTAGATAAATACTAAAGTGCAACTTATTAAAGAACATAAAAGTGATAGTATAAAGGCAGATTTTTGATTATCACGGAGAGATTAAGAGGAGCATTTCTATGCACAGTGAGGAACCTTTATTTAAAAATATATTAGATATCCAAATATGAGTATTCTCTGCTATTTTTCCCTATCCACATATGCTTTTGCATAATTCAGTATCACGGGAAATGGCTGCAAATACACTCTTCCTATTCTTAATGTTGGTAGTACAGTAATGTTCTCAGAAGCTACTTTAAGTAGAGAATGATTTAAATTCCAATGTTTCATGGCAAGTTGTATTTGAACAGGAGGCACTCAATTCTAGTGATTTGTGTAGAAAGCCATAGGTGGAAATGTCTTATGTGACAGGAGATATAGTGAAGAGAGATGCAATAGCAGATGGCTTTACGTAAGAAAATAGTGAAGGTCAAAAATAGTTTTTAATCTTTTTTTTAATCCCTGACAACCACCAGAAAAATAAGCTTTTATACTTGACACTGGGCAGTTGATTTTTGAATTATCACCTTAAGGTAAATGGAGACATGACCAGGTCAGGTTTAAGCTCACTTGAGTGCATTGTAGCAGGACTATAGCAGAACACATCTGTGAGGAACAAAGTGCTTTCAGGTATGCTAAAAGTCAATTTGATGGGAAATAAGTCAATGTAGGATGTCACATTTTATAAACTTATTTGTAATCTTTAGAAAGCTGGAGAAATGCTTTAGCAATCAAGAGGATATAGAGAAAAGAAAATACATTAAGATCACACACACACACACACACACTTTCTTAATTATTTAAAGCTAACATGCTAAAATGTGATCTCAAGTACTGTCTTTGCCATTTATAGGTGTTTGTACATACACTGTGCACCTACGCTGTTTCCAAAATCAATTTGTTTATTATTGTCTTAAATTGGTAGTTTTGGACTTCATAATGCTCATACTGGCCAATATTCTCTTCATAAACTGAGAAAAAAATAGCTTTGCCTTGAGGTTTCCTTCAAAGCACTCATTGTATCAGATCTCCATGATCTACTTAATATTTATAATAACCTATTTTATAGGTAAAGGAGATGAGGTTTACATTGCACAGACAGCTAGAAATGTTCCCATGATTTATTCCTGGCCCCGTCTACTTCACAACCTCACTATTAAAATGCTGCTGTATGTTCTCTTTATTTCTTTAAGAATATTTCATTTATTTTTTAGAGAGAAGGGAAGAAAGGGAGAGAAACATCGATGTGTGAGAGACACCTCCAACGGGGAGTCTGGTTTGAAACCCAGACATGTTCCCTGACCAGGAATTGAACCTGGCAACCTCTTGGTTCACAGGCTGGCGTTCAACCCACTGAGATACCAGCAAGGGATATATGTCCTCTTTAAAACATTGCTATCTGATGTAGGAAGTGTTCAGAAATTTAGTTTGCATCCTTTATAACTAGATCCAGTGAATGTTTTAAAGGACAAAGATGAGGTAAGATGAAAGAGCAATGGGTTCTGAAGCTTTTTCAGTTGAACCAGGCTTAAATTAGAGATCATTTTGGCTTGTTATGTACTTGAAATTATTTGAATTCTGGTAAATCCTTATAAGGCTAAGTTCAGTTTAGTCTCGCCTGGAATGGTCTTATTACACTCAAAGATGTGTGCATAAGGATGAGTATAGAGTGATCTACCTGTTGTCCTAATGATCCTAGAAACAAAAGTGCAATAGTCTGATTCTGGTAAGGATTTCAAGACTAACTATGCCCTGCCAGAGAATCACCAAATTCCCATATGAGCACCTAAAAAATTTTTCAGCCTTTGGTCCACTTTCAGACTTTTTTTCACATGCAACAGGCTGGATTCCTGCGAGTCTGGGGCACGCAAGGTACACGGGTGGGGCCGAGTTGGCCTAAACCTGCTCTGCTGGTGGTAGAGCTGAGGGTGATCATAAAGAGAGAAATACAGGAACACAATGAAAACAGAATGCCAGGCACATTATCATGTGAAAAGAGCCAGGTTGAGGCAGAATCCCAGTACATACCAGGAAGCAGAATGAAACCAAACTAGAACAAAAAGTCTGGGATAGAATGAAAGGAGGTTAAGAAGGAATGATACCTTCAACAGCTAGAGCCTGGCATTTTTCAGAAAAGTTAATCTTGCTTTTTAAGTAGGTAACATGATCACATGTTCAAGGATAACTGTATAAATAAGTTTATATTTAGGAGTATTAATTCGATCTCATTTCTCTACACTCCTGTCCAGCCAGATGTAATTACAAGAGATAGATTTATT